CACCGCGCGGTAAGGGCGACCCCAGGGGTCACGATTAAGACCCTCCAGCATCTCCTGTCTTTTTTCCTCTTTGGCGCGGCTAATGGCCAGCTTCAGAGTTTTCCGCGCCCGTCGGTACTCCTCATGAAGCCGGTCCTCCTCACCGTCTCCACGGTGACGCCGCCGACTGCGTGTGTAGGACCTCCGGGCACGTGTACAGGCCGCACGGAGGTCCGCCAGCTCCTGGGGCGTTTTCCTCACCTAAGTTTACCTTCTTTTTGACCAGTTTAGTCTCAAGGGTTGATATCAGGCAAGCGGCCGCATGCTGGTATTTTTATTGACATTCCATTGTTTAACAGTCATTTTTCAAAGCAGATTACAGATGTTTTACTTTATCACTGGCTTAGAAGACACTGCATGAACCAGTAAATCTTCTTACCAACATAAACAGTAATAAAAACCACGAAAATAAAAAATCTGTTAGTTTATTTACTTGAGCTTGTGCGTATACGAGTGCGTGAGGCATTGAGTTTATAAGAGCGTTCTATGTAAGTGTGTGTTACTTTCGTTAAGTTATGCAAAGGTATATTAGTCACTTTGTGTTTTTATTAAACTCATTTTTTAATTACTCAAAATAAATATTCAATTAAGTCGTACAAACTACCTTGACACAAATTTTACCAATGTTATGTTTTCATATTCACTACGTTCTCATTAAATTACTTACCTAGTTATACATGTAAAATATGATATTAATTCCTTCAAACCCATCTTTTACTTGTTGAAGAATAACAAAGTTGTTATACATGTAAATTAAACAAATATAAATTAAAAGCACTGTTCATAATGATGTGTCCACGATAATAATTATGCAAGGTCACCGTATCAGTATTTTATATCAGTAGCTATGTCGTGTATACCCAATAGAAGGCCGAGTTATTTTTCTAGCAAAATATTGAGTTAACGAGCTACTTATAATTTTTATGTTTATGTTAAAAAAGGTTTTATTAGAAAGCGACACTTTTACATATAGATTATTTTATTTTAACATGATAAAGAAATAATATTGTATTGCGATGGGTATTAAGTATTTTTAATACAATGTAAGTAAATCTTCGAATTTAACTGTTGTATGGAAATGAGACTTGGTGAAGTTGATGTATGCGCATGTGCATATCCATATGTAGTTTAGATTACATCGCTACAATTTAGCATCTTGGAATTAATCTGATGCTATCAGCGGCTGCTACTGAAATCCTCGAGCGTGGGCTCATAAGCTGAATTATGGTAATTCTTTATTACTTTTTAATTTGGTTCGCCATTAACTTTACTTTTACTAAACTAAAATTATTGCTTTAAGTACTCTCTGTAACTGTAGGAAAGGTATCTTCATTTTATGTTAGAAAGACTTATTTTCTCACTTATTTTATCACTTTGTTATCGTAATTATTTAGGATACATTTGTCCTGTTTCAAAATCAAGGATAAATAAATTAATAAGGTTGCAGTAACTGACAGAGAAACATAGACTGTATGTGAGAAAACATTGCCACAATAAACAAAAGCTTTTAAAAAGATTATAATGTTTTATGATAGGGGAAGCTGTAACTGCTAAAGCTACGCACGGTGCGCTTGAGCGGTTCGAGGCGCGCGCCGCGCTATCTGCTAAGAACGAAATCCTCGCAATCAATGTATAAATAATCGTTTACCAATGCGTCCGAAAACACGCAAACCACCGTTCGTAGTACGATATTTCAGGAAGGTATTCCCCCGTCCGTCAGACGAAACTTCAGCACATCCTATTTATAAGCGTCTATGTATAAATTCACTAAAAGTTAACACCACAACACACGTAACGAATATAAACTCGGAAAAGCCTCTATTAATAATCGACCGACTGACTTTGCTACCAAAAATAATAGTCTAATTGTGAAAAGTTTATGCGCGATGGGTCGTGGACCGGGGCTATCTTGGGGCGGCTAAACTTAGTGGTGCGTGCGAGCCAGATGGTAAAATTAGTGAGACGCCGTCTGCTACTGCTCCTCATGACGCCAGTCCGCGTCCATTCACTCACCTCACGCCAGCACCGCGACCGACACGTAAGTAACTGCCAAACTTATGACATTCCATTTAAGAATTATCCGCCATGTTGCCAGGTCGACCATCTTGTACCTGTAGATTTATTGTGAGTATCTCTCACCACCGTCGTATTAAGTATGATATACTGATGTACGCAGTTACTGCAACTATTTAATTCTGTTGATTAGATATATTCTTGGCTGAATCTACGACATAGCTGTCCTTCTCAATTAGGTGCGTGTTAATCATAACCGACGGTTGAGATTCGAGCCATTGATATGTTAAAGCATACGTTTTATTGCATTTATATTTTTCTTTGCCCATCTTGAGTTAGTTTTCTTTTATTAGATCAAAGTAAAAGTGTATTTGTGATACATTATTAATAATTAAATGTTCCTTACAGCATCATCAACAACCACACCACTACACTGCTCGTAAGAGTAGTAGCGTAATATTATATTACTTTTAAACTTTTGTTAATGACTACTAGTTTTAGAAAAAATCTTAGCTTTTTTATATCAGCATAGATATGAAATTAGTCAAGCAAATCATCATGAAGTATAAAAATAATCATCATCATCATCAGCTTATCGTAATCCACTGGCCTCACTTAATGCTCGCCACTTTGATCGATATTCATCTTCTCGCATCCAACTCCTGCCAGCCATCTTGCGCAAATCGTCACTCTTAATAGCCTAGTGGCGTCCTATAGTTGCCGAGACACGGTCTCCATTCAATAAAAATATTAACTACAAATATTTCTAAAAAGTTTTCTAATTCTGCAAATCTAAAAATGGCTCAATTTGTTTAATAACACGTTTTGTGTTTGTTTTCTGTTTTGATTCCAAGTTTGTTTAATATATATATATAATAATTAATATTTATATTTATATAATTATATATATAGATAAACATATATACATATAAATATATATATTTCTTCTTTTATGGTTAAAGGAAACTACATAGGAATATGTACCAGTTTTAGCTAATTATTAAATTGTTTCTTATTTTCATATGTGAAAATTTTAATAGAAATTTATTGAAGCAACACGTAAATGTAGATTCACTCGAATTTCAGGCCCTATTGAGTTTTGAAGCCTTTGACCCGGGGAAATGTGATGGAGCGGCAAATCAAAGGGTTTTTCAGGGGCTTTTGTTTTCAACGGCCCATTAATGAGAGGATAATTATATGATATGTCCAGTGGTGAGGATGACGACTTTTTTGCGCCTTTTATGTCACTTTGTCATTTAGTTTCACGTTGTATAAGGAGTAAGCGAGAAAGTTAAGAAGGCCACTTTGGTATTATAATTTATTCTAATACTTTTAAGTATTCTTAGTTGCAAAAAAACTTCTTAAATGTTCTGAAATACTTAAAAAGGGTTAAGATTTAAGTTAACCTTAAAAAATAATTATATAAATTGATATACCTATTTATTTAGGATTTTGACATTTTTGAAAATGGTCGACATGCTCTAACCTCTTTGCTTCTAACCCATTTGCATATTTCTTAATACGTATAAAATAAATAATAGTTAAAGAAAGTATCTTTTTTTATTTTAAGTATTTTAACAAAAAGAATTTACAGTACATTTTTATATCGCGTATAATAAATATAAGGACATATCGCTGTCTATCTCTCTTCTGATGTCTATTTAATGAAATAGTTCCTTGTTTTATTTAATTTTTTCATCTTTTTAAACCAGTTGCGAGATGGGCATGAGATTAAGTTTTATTAATTATTTAATTAAATACAGTCAATTAGTATTTTATTCAAAAAAGTAAGTGTTTATTGATTTTTAAATACTGTTTGCAATATGTACGTTCGGCAATAAAATATTAACATTACCCATGATTTTAAAATTTAAAAAATCATAGGTAATGTTGATTTTAAATTACCTATAACTTAAATTTTGGTGAAGTAGCAATAATCAAACTCACGACTTGGAAAAGTTGCGAAGTTTGATGGACCGATTTTCACCAATATATAACTATATCAATACGGCAACCACAACAGTTTATATGAAACAATTGATTTTTAAATAATAAACGTTTTTTCTGTTTAAAAATATCTAAACAACATTTTATTATGCAAGAAAGATACGTATGTTAAACATACATATACACATATGTTATTATAACGGGAAACTTAAATAAAATATTCGTATATCGAGCACTATGATAAACAGTTTTTCTTTCATACTCGTCTTTACGCTATTGAATCCTTGAAATCGAATCTAAAAATAAAACTGGCAAACATCCAGCTATATAGTGATGTTAATAAAATGTTTGAGATTTACACGAACCGGTCAAAAGACTTGCGTAAACTTGATTTTTGGCCATTACTGTTAAAGAGTTGTACAGTAATTGTTTGGACTTCGTAAAACTTGAGAGAGCTTGATTACAATAAATTTCTTTCCATGTTATGGCTGTTCTCATGGCAACTAAGAAGCATTTCCAAAACTTCTCTTTTACCTAAATGTAATATTAAAAACTCTGTAAAAGTTACTAGCCGTAAATAAACATGTTATCAAAAGGACGCCGCTTGCTACGACGCTGAGTGTTCTGGGTCCGATCCCCACAAGGGACGACACTTTGTGTGATCCACAAATTGTTGTACTGAGTCTAGGAGTTTTTTGTGTCTGTTTCATGTATGTTTGTAAAGTTTCCCTCGACACTGCGGGAGTTGTCTTTTTTTTTAATAAGAAAAAAGTCACTGAAGGTTTGGGTGATGGGAGAATTAACTTATTTAATAAAAAATAAAGTAGAAGAATGTTACTTATTTTTTAAATTATATTTCAAAGTGGTGTTTGTATCACGGGTGAGAGCTCAGATACTTAATGTCTTAGATATAATAACCTGGAATCACTGATTGATAGTCGAAGACCTTACAACTTTACCATGCAGATATTCTTAGACTATAATAGAATAAAAATACGATCATGAAAGAATCTGCAGCAATAAACTTAGTGAAACAGACATATCTAATGAAAAGCGAATACCAAAGATCCTGGGTATATGGGACAGGGGTAAGTATCACAATTCAATTCAAAATACCTTTTGTAACGCTATTGATTTATTACTTCACCCGATGATTCTTACATAACAAATATACACAGTCTTGAATGCGGCCATAAAAAATATATTCGAAACACCGCACGATAGGTTACGTTTCAATCAGCGTTGCCATGAAGTAAGAATTTATTTCGTAATATATTATTTAAACTAATTGTCTAAAAGTCGATATACATAAATACTTTCATAATCACCCTATATTAGATTAAATGTTGTCTTACGTAAAAGTAAAATTTAATTTATAAGGAGAAAGCTCATTCACCGTTTCACTTTTAGAAGTTCGGGATATTATTTCAAATGTAAAAAAAATATGTTTTTAATATAACTTTTGGACCCTAAAACTCTTCTATAGAACTTAGGATTTGAAATTAAATCTTACAAAGACTAAAACTTGAATCAATAACCGTTATCATTTTAGGTTAAATATTGCTATTTTATAAAATAAACCATTTATGTGACTTGAGTGTTAGTTTTGCCTTACTTTATCCGTGGTATCTCTGTCAAATACACGATTCCATAAAATTATTGACAAAAAAATCTAACGTCAGTGCCAAAATATTTTATTGATATTTATATTTCTATATTTAATTTCTCAATAACCACAAGTTCTGTTACAATAAACGTTAATATTTCAGATAATAATGCAAGCTAAATAATGCAGTGTATATATGTTTGCACGGCTAAAAAAAGTGTAAAACTGATTTTCATACTAAAATGAGCATTCTCCTTTGTGTGGTTCACACATATTTTTTGTTCATACCCTAACCCTAATATTCAAGACGGTGTAGCGGTGAGATGACTCCTTAAACCACGTAGTTTTCCATTTTATAACTTGTAATATAATGCTTTATATTAGATGATTATATCATGGTCTGATTGTTACATATTTTTACAGTGTAATATTTTTTTAAATGTTTCTCTTCAATAAACTAACAAAGATTTTTATGATAATTTTGATTTACTCCGTTAACTTCTAAATCTTAAAGCTTGAAGCTTAGTAAGAAGCTTACATCTCAAAGGAAATACTAAGAATAAATTTATAATACAAACATTTCACTATCTCAGAAACTGTTCACTAATTCGGTAAGAATGATGTTAAAGCGATACCCAAATAATATCGCATGATATAATTATCACGTGACAATACAGCCTCCTTGGTGAAAAGATTTATCTTTGTTCGCTTGTTTTTTTACTGATATACTGGGTAAGCGAGCTGACTATCACCCCATGGTAAGTGGCTACCATGGGGTGATAGTCAGCTCGGGATCGTGAGGTGTACGCATATTCTTTTCTTAGAGGTTTGGTGGTCGTATTAGTCTGGAAATACCACAGACGACAATTCGTAGATTGATTTTAATTGTTTTGTAGAAGTAAAAAAGAATGAAAACGCTTTTTTTTAATAGGAGAAGACAAATAACTAAGAAAAGACCTAACATATGACCCTTAATATAAGTTAACACTTACATTCGTAAGTTTAAAAAAATATCAAACATAAAGAAAACTAGTATATTATTTAGTATTTATTTAGGTTTTAGTACATCTGAATAAGAATTGGAGTTTTCTTCTTCTACAAAAGACCATTTTTGAATTCGTACCATGCAGTATCATTAATAAAACAATATTTTATACAAATCAATGTAAAAGTACAGTATATCATAGAAGAACTTGTCTCTCCTGCCTGCCTGAAATTGTCTGTGACTTGAAATGGCTCAAAGAAATAAAGACAATAATGTAAACAATCTATTAAAATGTATTTCAACAGTGATGGAACCGGAAATATCGTATGTCTTAACTTCTACGAGTATCAGACAGAAGACAAGCATTGAATAAATACAGGAAAGTTTCGTAGCTCTACGTCTTGATGTCTACGGAGCGTAGCATTTATCATTTATTCAGGCTATAGTGCATGTCGGAGCGTTAGCTGATAGTTGCCGAGGATTCTTGTGTCAGACAAGTGTGTGATTGTTTTTGGGATTTCTAGTCTGTTCGGCATCATCTATGTTTGATGGTTCTTGGTGTGAGTTGTTTTGACATGTACGTTTAAAATGTATGGGAAAGATGTATTTCAGCTCAGTCAGTATGGGTAGCTTATTGCTTAGGGTTATCATTTAAAACTTTATTAAAAAAATATCTTATAGTGAAAATGAATACAGAAAATACCAGCTTAATCAGTTGACAAAATAGTTCTGAATTTAATTGTTTTATTATTTTTGTAATGTCAGTACCGTTTGCTTGTATGCGTGTGTGTGTTGTAACTCATAATTATTAAAAAATGAAAAATTATCGACATAGAATGTGTAGACTTTTTTGTAGGTTTGACTTTTTAAAGCATAGTAGTTAATTTTATGACCTATAACATCTTCACTACATCGTCTCAACCCTCAATTTCTTTCAAACTGTGTGAGTAATTTTATCAAAAGGAACGGAAATATGTAACAGGAAGCCGAAGAAGCGTGCACTATTTGATTTAAATAAAAAATTGGCGCGGTGCTAGATTTAGCCATCAGATGTAGGTGAGATATTTTTTTATTGAATGGTGGATATGAGAAAACAGATTACCGTAAGAATCTGCCACCGCCCTTCGATATCTGCAACTCAAGTGACACAAGTTTGATGGTCTTACTCACTCGGTAAAAAGCAACAAGGAAATTGATTAACAGCGGTTATCTGTGAGGCCGTGGTATTACTCCGGTCGAGCCGTCCCATTTTGTACTGAAGCTTGGCATCCCCACAGTTAAATGAAGTCCAATATTACACATTATTTGAAACTACTTATATTTTTTCTTCAGTAAAATAAAGTAAAGTATGATAAATTACTACGATACGTAAAGCTTAAGGCGTTTTTTCTGGCAGAAGGGGTAAACGAGCAGACTGGTCACCTGGTAGAAAGTGACTACCGCCGCCCATGAACGCCTGCAACTAAGGAGTCACAAGCGCATTGCCGGCCTTTTAGAAAGGAGTACAGTTCCACAGACTAGTTGTGCGAGGCAAGAAGTGTCTTAAAAACGTGGAGTGCCAATTATGCAAGTGATGAGAGATGAATTTTTTTAAGCCCTCACTAGAAATATATTGTGTCACTAGGGATTTTACACACATGCATGAAACGGACACAGAGAACACCCAGACGTTGTTGTTCCATGTTCGAAACGGCGAGGTGACCGCATTAAACCACTACGCCATCCGTGCAGTGCACGGATTTTAAGACTTAATTGTCAATTAAAACAAACTTGTCATTTGATTAAGAATAATTAAAATTATCGTGTTTTCAGTAAATATTTATTTGTTTTAGTTTAATTGCATTAACCGAGTTATTATTTTCTTTTAATACTATCTAAGAACATACCTATATAACATATTGAAACGGCCGTTAGTATGAGTAATCCATTCCACCATTTCCTGATTGTCTTGTTAATATGACTAAGAGCCGTACTACTCAAGTTTCTTAAAGGATACCGTGGCATCTGCTAACAAAATATAACTTTACTACTACTACTTACTGTAATATTTTAATGTGTAAAGTATGAAACATTAAATTTACAAGATATTCTTACCATAGAAGTAATATCACAATTAATTAAAGTGCGGTTGATATTCTTACCATAGAAGTAATCACATTAAATCAGAGTAATAATCTATTTTAGTAAAAATTGGTTGCCTGTAAAGTCGGTATACGGGCGAAAGTTTTACGTGACAACGACTTTGAGTGGTAAAATAATTTTAATGTGAATATTCATTCGTATAGTAGGAAGAAGGATGAAATAATAGTAACAATTTAAAACATTTATTTATACAAAGAATTATTTATGTCTGTCTCTCTCGCTCTTAGGCGGGCTAACCATGCCCGAGTGGAAGGGACGCGTGCCTCTCACTCGCTCTCATTGTGAGCGCATAACGTGAGCGGAGCGTAACGCAGTTTCTTGAAGTGTCACCCGGCAAACCAATTTATAAGACGTTGTCACGTCAAAAATATAAAAGACGTAGGTTATACGTAGGTAGTAGTGTTAGTATTACTTAGTCTAAACATAATATAATACCCATCCATACTGTATTTAGACTAAGTAATTGATTCATTTTTTATAACATAGGGTGCAACGATGCCAGCAAGGGAACTTCAGGGTTCCCACAAAGGAGGGGGTCATCTACCCACCGTAGATGACCCGAGGTACGTCGGGGTACCAGGGCTTTCCTTTCTAGAGTATACCTGGTTCCCCGGCTACTGGTACTTGGAGACGGCGTATGGTTTTTGGTCGGTTCGAGTCCGACATAATCACCCTACTGGTGGGTGGTATCCGAGGGGAGTTCGGGGAAAAAAAGGAGGCAACGAGCAGTCGCTTCAACTGATGGTACGAGTAAATGCACACCTGTTACAAGAGACACAAGTGTGTTGACGCCCTTAAATTAATACATACAATTAATGAAAGACGACAAAAAACACAGCATCAAAAGTTTTACCACAAATTTTACGGAGACTGTAATTTTTTTTTATAGTTTTATTCTTGATATAATTAAATTAACATACATATACGTTTTATTATCTTAATGACGACTGGTGATGTGTTTGTGAGTGGCTATATAAGACCGATTAAGTGAAAAGTTTATATTTACAGAATGATGTGGCCAAATTTTAGGCGCCCTTTGTGTAAAGAAATCGTTGACGTAGCTTGAAAAAATAATTCTTGCCTTCATTTTTTTACTTTTTAATTTTTATTCCTTGGGGTATTTAATGAAAAAATATTTCTTTTTAAACCTGATAATTAAAACCTTTTAAAAAACCTTTTAAAAAACCTGATAATTATATCAACATCCTTGGTGTTAACTTTTAATCATGTTAGCCTTCTCCTTTAATCTATTAAGTTTTCAAGTTCAATGATTCTTTTATTTTTTTAAATAATGTTTTATAGCCCTTCATGATACGACTCTAAACTATGAACTTTTTTTTTCTGTAACACCTGTATTTGAATATTTATTATGTTTAAATATCAGCAAGATGTTTTTAATTGAAAAGTAACAAAGAGGTAGATCAATCTAAATTTTAATAAAAGCGGATTTGTACGTCTCGATTAGGTCTAGCCTAAGAGATTCAAAAAACTCTGTTTTTTAATCTATACAACTGAAAATACTTACCTATTTTAGTTTAAAGACAGTAATTTGCTAGAAAAATTTATCTGCCCAAACTATAATAGTGTAGTAGTATAATCAAAATACAAAGAAACTTCCGTATAATCTGGTCAGAAGTTTAATTGGACACCATCACATCTAAATCCCTCGACAGAAAATACTTTAATCAATTTTTTATGTTCTAAAAGCTACATTCTGAACATTAACACGTAAGTTTTACTACTCCAACGAAACCAGTGACTGTCAACAAAAAAAAATGAATTTATGTGTGTTTATATAAGACACAATCTCTACGCATGGTGAATGGATCGTTAAATACAACATTAAGATAGAAAATGTGAGACGAGCTGCCGGTGACCACGGATAGTTATGAGACAAAGAATAATGCCCAGATATGTCAAAACTTTGATATGATGAAAAACTAACATTATAATGTATTATTTCTTACCGTTTTTTAAAGTATTAAGAAAATGGTTACGAACGTCGGTAGCGTTTTAGATCGATCTCTATCAAAATTGTTCGTTACACACTCGAGGCCGAGTCGACCAGATTGATACGACGGCTTCACAGAAATTAACGGGTGTTAAACAATTCTTATGCTTCTTTTCACGAAGTGAATGTGGTTACCAGAGGCTGTATGCCTCTCTACCCTGATTCTGTATTGCACTCAAGGGGCGGCAACGCATTTGTATCTCTCGAAAAAAAATGTTTTTGAATTTGGAATTCCTTGATATCATCCTTGATACCTTGGGTACTTTTGGTGGTCATAGTTAAAGAATTGGAATCCGTCATTGGAAGCAAGGTCGCGAATATACATGTGTGTCGTATAATATTAAATAGAAATATTATTTATTTTGTTTACTCACTAATGTAGTTACATATTGACTGCACGGATGGCGTAGTGGTTTAAGCGGTCACCACGCCGCTTACTACTACGCTGAGTATTGTGGGTCCGATCCCCACATGGGACGACATTTTGTGTGATCCACAGATTGTTGTTCTGAGTCTAGGTGTTCTTTGTGCCCGTTTCATGTATGTTTGTAAAGTCCCCCGCGACACCGGAATATATTCCTAATGCGGGAGATGTCTTTTAAAAAACTCTTGACAAAATATACAAGTTAATAAAGTACAAGGGCTACTAAATTTCTTCTTTATTCCAGAATCTTTTTAAAAGTTTTAAATCTTTAGACTTTAATTACTCAACACGCATATAAAACCATAATATTTCATGTTCTATTTGTATCATGAAAGAACCAGTGATTAAAAAAAGGAAGAACTTTACAAAACATATATATATATATATATGGGTATATATATATATACCTTTATGTTATTTGTGGACTGCGTATTTAATTTTTTCCAGGATAAAAGGTAGCCCTTGTGCTATTCAAGATTATAATCTATCTCTGAGTCTAATTTAATCTAAATTTTGATGCTAGATTGACGTTGAACGATTAAAAAACGTTCATCTATTTAAATATTACCTTTCATAACAATAGTATAATGCAAATACTGGTGTATATATTATATACATGTATTTTGATATTATTCATTAAAATTATTTATTTGCTATTTTTTTACGGAAAGATAAATTTTGACTGTAAAAACATTGGTAGAGTTGTATGTATGGTTTTAGTAGCAAATTGTTAATGTCTTAAATCCATTTGACTTGCATTTGCGATGTTTTTACCACTTTGGTAACTATTTGTACAACAAAGTTAACAAAATCCTGAATGTGTACCCAATGACTAAATTTCAATGTAAAAAAGCTGTTACCAAGTGGTTGATTGATTTGGATTATGACGAAACAGAAAAGATAATCTGTACTTTAAAATAAGTACTGTCACTCATGCGCATACACAAACACACACACACGCACACACACTCAACACACACACGCACGCACGCATACACTAATTTCTAATTCTTCTTACCTTTTTTAATTATATTTTGAATTAAAAAAATATAAATAAAAAATGTATCACGTTGCTCAAAATCTACATGTATATGTATTGCATCTGTATCGCTAAGGTGGGAGCCTGGAGATTTGTCACACAGGTTTCGAACCTACTACAAACTCCAGCTCTCACTAAGGTGTCATGTATGTTATTTTTATTATAGTAGCATAACAAACCTATGTACCTATTTACCTTTTTGAGACAAATAAACCTTATTATTATTATTATTATTTAATTATGTTTCCAAAATACCTTGTTTAGTATCAACATTCCATTATATAAATGTTATATAATGGAATGTTGATACTAAACAAGGTATTTTGGAAACATAACTTAGGTATGTACCTAAGTCCATAATATGCGTTTTATATTCCTAACTTATTAGCAAACTTAAACATAAATACCAAATACCTACTACCCACATTGATTTTATCGATTGTACTTCTATAGAAATTTTATAGTCAGAACCAGAACATGCTCTTAAACAAAATAATCACCCCACACAAAAGAATCAAATCAAATCAATCGTCGTGTCTACGCAATTCACTCGAGCGGTGGCGGAGCAAGAGGGGGCGCGGGGCAGGGCGGGCGCCGCCCAAAATAGCTCGCACGTGCCGCTCGCCACCGGTGCCCACGCGCAGCCAAGATGGCCGCCGCCTTTATGCGTGTGTGCGTGCGTGCATACTAGCACATAATGCGCATTATGTTGTTATGCATGGAAAATCTGTTTACGATACTGCGGGTTGAACGGCGATGTGATGTGGATCATGCTAGTCTACGTTCTAGATACATTCATAAATACTTAATCAAATTAGTACTATTGAAAATAACAAAAAAATTGAAAATAAAGTACTACATATAAATCTGGTTTTGTTATCGTCAGTACAAAGAACAACATAAGATGGAGGCCATAATCCACAAAAACCTGATAAATTATAGATATGTACAGGTACACATGATATAACATGACGCTCTAGAATTCCCATTCATAAGGTTAATCAAGATTTGTTCCACCATTGTTAAAAAAAAAGTTAACGACATATTCATCAAAGAGTTTAACGAGTGAGGAATTTTATAACCACACCGGGCACATAAAATACCGACGCGAAATGAAAGCTGTGCCATGAATCAACCCATCATCACATCCTGTAGGTATTCCAAACATTAGGCTCATCACATGTGGTGTCTTCCAGACGTTGCCCACTTTTTAAGATAGGTATATGAATCATGTACTTATAAAAACTGTTCTTCTCTATTGACTTGCAAGATAAATATTTATTTATATGTATGTACATAAATATTTATAGCTACTTTTGAATTTGCCTTCGGTTTCGATCGTGTTAATGTCCAATTTTTCGGGGATTAAATGTAAACTGGGTATTAGTTCAGATTATAGTCTATCTCATTGCAAAATTTCACTCAAATCCGTTCAGCGATTCTGGTGTTATTTAGTATATTCATCCAAACTTACAGAGTACATGTAATACTATGTATTGCATTTACAATACATAGTATTACATGTACTATCATGACTTCAGTATATATTACACAGTAAATATGTTATTATCAATATGTTGAAATGGGAAAAAAGAACTTACAAATAATACAAAATACAAATAATTTATTTTTGATTCTAGAATTTTCGAATCTACACCTACGCTTGAAAATTATGTTATTATGTATATATTATAAATAATATTCGAATAATTAGTCTTTTCCTCAAAAGATATTTTATGACTAATATCTTGTTAGTAATGGAATGCAATGAAGAATTATATTTAAAAAGGAAAATACGTTATAATTTTGCTGTTACCTGAACTAAAAAGACGCCTTTGTCTAAAGACGAGTTGCTTAAGAGGTTTGCATGTTTCAACTCTTCAAATTATATTATGTTTATACACGAGTTGATATGCCAGTTAAATTAAACTGTCAGAGAAACGTATCCTGCTTGATAGTGTATACACGACAGTACTTTTCAGTGTTATACGTTCATATCCATACTAAGCATCAATTATAAAAGAAATTATAAAGGATCAGCAATAATAATAATCAGTCTTTTGTCTATTATTAACAAGAAAAACTGTAGATCAAAGCTAGACACTAGATAAAAATATGGTTTATTAATTGAAATCGTATTTATCTGGTTTCTACAGAAACAACGAATCGTCTTAATTCATGATTACAGTAAAACTGGAAAAAAGTATCCGTCTGTTTAATTGATAAGCTCAAGTTAGACAGGTAGTTAGATAGTCTAATTGATGGTAAGATATAAAGCACTGATGCTGAAATACATTCTGTTTATTTGGTGTAAATAAAGTGGTTGGAAACCGTGGGTGTAGATATCTTAAGATATAAATGTGTGCATGTGTGATGATACGGTAGAGTGAGAATGGACAGAGACATGACTAACAATTTAAGATCCAAAAAAGTACTCATTTTTTATACTACATACATAAAATACTTTACACCTGTTGTGTGTACCTGTTGTACTTCACCTCATTCCTTTCAGCTTTCTTCAATGAATTTTTGACAAAAAGTGTGTTAACCTCGTGAACATAGATTATGTTCAGATAAATGTGCGTTAGTCGCGCGTTTTTGAAAAGTTTCGTTGGTTGATTGTACGTTGTAAAAGTTTTTTGAAAATCGGCGTTTTACATGGTAAAGGGTCTGCTCTTTGCCAAGTAAAACGCCTGCCATGTAAAATGCCAGCAGACGGGTCATCTGATGGTAAGTGACTACTGCCACCCATGGACAACTGCAATGCCCAGAGATACAAATGCTAATGCTGCTAATATTTACGTGTATTCTTACCAAGTTCTTCTTGTGTCTTCTTGTACTTCACCAAGTGTCTTCTTCACCAAGTTAGTGAGGTAACCGGAGCATAAGCTCCGGTTACCTCACTAACTTGGTGAAAAGCAATGGAAGAATTGCTTAACACTGATTTTCTGCGAGGCCGTGGTAGTTTCATTCGGATCTATTCGTGTTTAAATTGAGCGCGTGTAATTCCATAACTGATCTGACCATAGCCTTATTCTATAGTTTAAATTACAATTCAGATACGTTATCATTAATACTTTTATAATTCGCGCAATTTAACTATACATAAGCCTATTCGTCCAACCCTGTTAATATAGTGATATACTAATTTACTTTCGTCATATGAAATATGACGAATGTAAATTAGTGAGTCCCGTGAGCCAGTAGATTTTTCAAGTAATGATGACCTCTTGCAAATGGACACCGAGTAGCCATTTTTTAATTTAATTGCTGAGGTATTACTGGCATAGTTAATTTATACCACCGTACCATAGTTTTCATAATAGTCTTTTATTGATTTAACTGTACCTACTCAAAATTAAAGTTTATTCCATTGTGTGAAAAGTTCTTTTTCTTTTAAATTAAAAGTAATATCTCAGACATGTTAGTATTAAAAGTAGGGAATGTTCTGAACTGACTTCGTTTTATGTAGCGTGTCAATTACCTTTTTTTTTCCTGTGCGGAAATCCCTTCAGATATCACCCACCGGTGGGGTGATTATGTCGGACTCGAACCGACCAAAAACCGCACGCCGTCTCGTCGTCGTACCCTAGAAAGGAAATCCCTGGTACCCCGACGTACCTCTGGCCATCCACAGCGTGTAGATGACCCCCTTCTGTGTGAGAACCCCTATGTTTGCTTTGTGCTCCCAATGTGTCAATTACCCTAGTTAATAAAAAATGTTATATTACTCAGTTGACGAAAAGAACTAAACTTGTAAAAAGTATTTCTTAATCAAATTTAAGTCATATTGATCTTACTGTCTTAATGCGTATCGCAAATAATTGGATGTCATATGAGGTGACTTAGGTTATAACGTTTTGGACAAACGCCGAATAGGTGCGTCATGTACCTACGTCTGCTTAGTCTTCGATATTTTACTTTTTTATTTCCATTGTTATGGAATGAGGTACCGTCTTGATAACAACTGTGTCAAAGAAGACGAGCAGAGAAATGACAGACGTTTTTGTAATCATGTCTGTGATCTGCTTATTCAAAAATTCCAGTTAATGCAAGTTAAAAGAAACGAAATAAAAACATTTTCTTTTGGAATTGAATTCTGTTAGATGAAAAAAATTAACACTTCCAAAACGTCTTACACTCGTTGCGTTTAATTTTATTTCTGAATGTAATTTCACTGTACAAGACTTAGACATTACCGTAGACAATAAGTTCTACAGAATTTTCTCTCTCCACTTACAGATATACCTGTATACAACACAAGTTCAGTGCTCCCCCCAGGTACATATCGAACCGGGCGGCCATACACACACACGTAAAGCCGCATATACGAGACGGCGCATGCGCGTTGGAGCACGCGAAGCGGCGCGCGCGCCTCTAAATATAGCCTCGCCTCCCGTCGAGCTAACGCTACCAACCGCTGGAGATCTTGAAGATTCCTTAATTACTGTTTTTTTATGTTCTGTAATCTGATGACGTTCAAGTTCTTAGAACTTAAAAAACGAAGTTTATGGGAGTTTAACAAAAGCTAAACGTTTTGAGTTTTATCAATTCTTGCATCCGTGAATTTTCTTACAATATAATAATAATGAGAATGTATATGTTTCTGACAGAGTGAAAAAAATATAGATAAAGTTGTGTTTAATTAAGTATTTTTCAAAAGCTAATGTAAAAACATTAAATGGTTTACGTATGACATAAATTTGTTCATCTAAAGACTTAAATCTCTCGATGATCGCAGACGTTATGAAGACCATGACATTTCTTATGAATAAGTCACATAAACAAAAACTACAAAATAAATTGACATAGTGCTAAATCATTACTATATAAATTGCAATTATAACTCAGATACTAACATCTCATCTTAAAGTAAACCTAAAGGACAAATCTGCAGTTACAAAAGAATCTATGTGCATCCTTTTATTATGACTGTTCATTTCAAAATTTTATTTATTTACAATAAATGTTCAGTTTTTCAATGAAATATTCGTTCGGACAGACAAGAAACGCTACGTGAGAAAATTCGATTGTTATTCACTTCAGGAATGTAGCCCACAAGGTGATAATCTTCGTCGCTATTAGACAAGGTGTTTGTTTGCGCACTACCAGTGTTACTACTTGTATAACCTTGCCAGGGGATTGGGAACGCATCATGACGTTACTCACGAGAGAGAGACATTATCGTTAAAGTATATAGTGTATTGATTTTATTTTATTTAACAATGCAAGCATTAATGTAGTTAATAGTTTATAACTTGTGAATATGTTTTTTTACTAAAATTAGACTAGCTACATTTTCAGTTTCTATGGAAAAAATGTGTTAAATTGGCAGTCCAAAAACTGATTACAAAGAGAGTAAAATAAGAAAGAAATACATTTTTTTGATATTATATGTCATTAGTAAAATGAAGTTTATGTCTTGCTATTGTAAACCTCCTTAATAAGTCTCTCCGTCTTCTTATTAACAGCATTCGATATATATTCAATCTTCGAAAGTATGACCACGTGTCTGATTCACGTTCCTTATTATAATGGTTGCCTATTCACCTGCGCCGCAACCTGCGAGCGCTGAATTTCCTCTTTTCATTCCTCAACTCCCCATTCTCACCCACTCACCCTGATCCCTATCTGCGTTTCCTGTTCGCTAATTACGACAGAAATCTTCGCTCAACAAATAATTTTCTTCTCTTGTCCT